ACAGGTTTGGAGGTAGGTCCTGGGGGGGGGGGTACCATATATATATATATATAATATCTCTCTCTGCATCTCTGTGTGTGTGCATATGTATTTTTCTTGAAAGCTTATTACTCCATGACGGAGTATGGGACTTTCTGCACTTAAGTTGAATTGCATCGACACCCAAGCTCTCCTAAGCACGTGGCCCACCGATGCAGCACAGCGGTGTCACCTTGGAGCCGCTGCCCGTGCGGGGACATACGCGCTTCCTCGCATCAACAGCTGCAAGGCGGGAATCAATTGCCAACGAAACCACCCCAAGTCTTAGACCCTTTACTCCATACGCCCCAACCCGCAAGGAGAGCCTGGAGTCAAGTAGCTTGATTTGACAGGGACGGGTTGAAACCCTTGTTAGAAGTGCGAGACATCGATTGCCGGGAAGATTTCGGAGGTCGCATGCAAAGGTTCAGTAAGAAACGTGTATCCTTAGACTGATTAGCCTGGGATGTGGGTGAGGTTCTGAAATATCCTCGGACTGCATCAGGGAACCCCTCTGGAATTCGCTTGGAACGATTCGGCCCCTTATGACTTGATATGGTCCTGGCGGCCTCGGTCTACCGGAGCCATACGGGACTAGTGACTCGATGCACCATCTTGTCGTCCTCTGTTTTGAAAGACCCCAATTCGTAAACCATCAGCATGAAGGTTGACAAAGTTTGGGCTTTAGGGTTTAGGGTTGAAGTGTGGTAAGCGATCTTTTAACTACATAAGGAAAGGCAAGAGTCCAGAAGTGCGCAGCATTCAGCATCAAATGCTTATGAATTTCAGACACTCATATGGCTGATTTAGGAGGAACAAGAACTTGCCAAAGATATGCACAAGCTCAGGATTTACGACTCTACGACTGGTGCAAGCCAACTCCGACCCCATGTGTCGGACAAATCGGCAAACTAACACATAAAGAGCAAAGCCTACGCACATCCGAAGTCTAAAAATCTAGAGACTACGAATGACAATCACAATCACAGTCGAAATCATCGCCATCTCACCGGCACGAAGCATTTCGCACAACGGCAGTGCGTCCTCGTTCAGCTTCGATCCCATCCCCAGCCCCAGCGTGTAGTCCTGAGTGTTTCAGCAGATGAAGCCAGGTGGAAGGCCGAATCGCAAGCCGCTTAAATTCAGGGTGGCCACATAGATAGAGCCACCGCAACAACTGCAATCGGACACAATTTTTATCACAGGCAACATAAAGGCTGACCTCTGACAAATGTAAAAAAGTAAATGAGGACAGTACCGTGAAAGATTGCTGTTTAGGAATTTCCATACTCTGGCATACTGATAAAAGTATTGTGAGCACGGTAATGTAGGTTCTCCAGAATAAACCTCGGAGAATTAGGTGTCGTTGCTCCTAAAAACTACTTCCCACTTTCCAGGACTGATCCTCACAAGTCAATCTCCCGGGCGAGTTCTTGCGGTTCATTTAATCAGCCTCAACCCTAAAGTTTTAGAATAAATCGCTCGATTGGTTCCTCTACGCTGTGATTGAGGAAAGAAGCGATCATCTGATCTTACTGGTCCAGTATCCAAGGGGCACTAAAGTGACCAAAAGTTAACTTTGGAATTATATAGGAGTTGTAGTACCCCAAAAAGGTTACCTACTTTACTGGTAGCTTATGGAAACTGGGCAGGCCACTTTGAACCTTAAACCCGACATCCAAGGCAAACCCTCAGCAGCCCAAAGGGACCGGGCTTCCAAGCCGTTGAGGGGTCGAGCAACACCTCACCCACTGCACCCAGGAATCCCTCCCCCCGATTGTCACGGCTTAAGTTTGAGCAGTTTAGTCCCAAAACTGCTTCCGAGATCCTGACGGAAGGTGTGCACGATGACGCGACAGGGGTCTGTGGGATCGTCGTAAGCGTTCAGAACGTGGAAATTGAAGCAGTTTTCGGCCTCGACCCAGATCACGTCATCTGCAGAGTCGGATGACCGGTCGAGAATGCCGAAATAGCACCTTGTAAAACGGTTTAGGGTTTAGGGTTTAGAGGGATCGTTCTCGGCAAGCACTTTTACCACAGGATCCGGTTGTAGGGAGAAGGAACACAACGATTGCGCAACCCCTGAATCTCAATCCAGAAATCCACAAAAATCGCTGCATCCATGCAATCCATAGATCTACTAAACGCACATCCCTAGCCGTTAAACCCTGAAGCCCTAAGCCCTTTTTCCATCCAGGCCTGAACTGAGGGCCAGGCGCCTCTGCAGCACTACTTAACCCTCTACAATAAAACCCAGAAAGTTGGAACATCATTATCCTCATCCTTTTAAAAGTTTCCTGTAGGGAATCCCAGCAGAAATCATCCTAATTCCATGTTCCAACTTTCTGGGGTTCACTATAACCCCAATTGTAGGCCGGCCACTTCGCCGAGAAGTCGAAGTCGAAAGGGGGAGCACCGCTGACCATCTTCAGCGGCACCAGGTTCAGAGGTCCTAGGCTTAGGGACCTTTGGGGGGTTCAGGGTTTAGGGTTTAGGGCTTTCAAGTTTAGGGTTTAGGGACTCTCACAAGTGTTTAAATCGTCTCAAACCCAAGACAGACAAGTCCTACAAGGTAATACAGCACCGAAAATACACTCACCAATATGCATATTCAGGAAGAGCAATATATTAACACCCACGAAAGCAGTCACCCACTCACCATAATCCTGGATTTGACTCTGTTTGCCTTGTATCCCACTGCCTAGGCTCCGACATTGAGGATGACCCGTCGCTGGGTGATCCCAAAGTCGTGCAGTAAGGCTGCCCCAGACGGCAACGGCACTTTGACCGATCGCTCCAAGGCGCCATCGGCGCTGGCAGTGATCCTGCCACGCCCCGCGAGTACAGCAGACAGGTGTGTGTAGAGAAGGGCGGATCGGTAACTGGTGGTGGGGGCGGGGTGTGATCGGAACGGCTGGTCCCTATGGGCCACATAGGGTTTTTTCCTTCCCATTCCCTGTCACATGGTTAGTTGAGCCGTTAGGTACTACATGTTTAAGAACATACAGTAGGATTTTCTCCAGTTGCATTCAGGCTTCCCATTCCCTGTCACCTGGTTAGTTGAGCCGTTAGGTACTAACTGTAAAAGAACCAAGCGGCACACGCAGCCACGGGGGCAGCTCGATCATGTTGTAGGAGATCGTGATGAGTTGCCCGGTCTCGGGGTCCTCCGGAAAAACCCCCGAAACGCCTGCAATTCATGCCAGTCGCTTCAAGCTCGTGCCACACATCAGGAACCTACACCACAGGGGAAGACTACGGAGCACCCTTCTTGATACCTTGAATGTGGGGGCCTTAAGGATTACAAACCGCAGAACTGGCAGAACAGAGATTTGTCGCACCTGATGAGGGTTTCGACATCAGCTGAACCCCTCAGGAAACCAACCTTAAACCATTCAACTATCACTAAGCAGGCCGTACATCCTAGACAGCTCTATAAGCCTTCGACCCAAAATATGTTTTTTTGTAGTTACGCCGGCGCTATGCTAGTGGAATCCGGAAATCCTGCTTTCCATGTGCGCTGCAGTTGTCCGTGACGGCCCCATCTGCCCAGGTTCCCTCGTAGTCGAACAGGCCCAGCGTTTCCTTGCACTCGAAGATTTGGACTTAGTGTGAGGGCCTGAACAATTCGACTAGGGTTTTGGGACCCATTATACTATCACTATAAAAAAAGCCCAAAATAGTATTGGTAATTACAAAGATTCCTACATTAGTGTCGGAGGGTTGCTCAGCTTCGCACTAACGAACTAATGCTGCTACGAAAGGTCGTAAGTCGTACCGTAGTTGTGAGACCCATGGATGTGCTGAGTTCTGCGCTCGTTCGTTGAAACGGTGGGTTCTCGTACGCATGCATCTACATGGGGATTGCGTAGATGCATGTGAGCAGGTCGCAGGCAGGTAGCCAGGCATGCAGGGAGAGTTCGCGAGCACCACCACCATCACCACGACGACCACCCGGACGAGCGCTCTATGCTTGTACATGCAGCACGACTTGCACAAAGAGGTCCAAGCAAATTACCGACAGGAATATACAGACGGTAAGAATTTCCGACCCGACTGTGCATCCCGCATGGACGGACGAAAAGGCATGCAAGCCTCGAAGACTGTGCGAGGCTTGAAGAAGCAGCATCAGGGCTTCGACGACGACGACGACTACTGCTGCTCCTCCGCGTTATTTCGCAGATTCACAGACTTACACTAAGTCACAGCTTCAAGGTCAGAGGGCAAGCCTGAAGACTCAATGCCCAAGCCACACGTAATCCCCAAACTGAACCCATCTTAAAGCATGTTGGACATCAAATCCAGCAAACCCCAAGCGCAAACCCTGAACCCCAAAACTGTCTACCTACTGGTAGCATAGTAGCCCCGTATTAATAGTACCAGTTGCAGTACTCCTAAAGGGAGCCTCGACCCGAAACCCTTAAACCGCTGTAGTACCCGATACCAGTGGACTCCTAAACTACCCTAAACCCTAAACCCTAAACCCTAAACCCTAAACCCTAAATAGCCCTTAAAGATCCTTAAAGGAACTTTTTTTGCTTCGGGACTCCATGGATTTTGGAACTCGAGGGGTTCTGTCGTACGGTTCCCTTTAAACGAACCCTGACACGAACCCTTCAAGGAGCCCTTCAAGTAGCCTTTGAAGGACCCCTTACATGAACCCGAAACTACCCCGTAAAGTATCCTCCTTAAATTAAAAGTACACTAAACCCCTAAAATGAACCCGAAACTACCCCTCAAAGTACCCTCCTTTAAATACCCTAAACCCCAAACCCCTTAAACAAAAACCAAAAACTACCCCTTAGAGGAACCCAATGGGGGCCCAGGGCTCCAAGTCCGGCAACCGTAGTTGGTAGGCCCAGCCGGCCTGACTGCAGCAGCTTCGGTCGATCTCTTTTGGCTCTATAGGGGAGGGTTCAGGGTTTAGGGTTAGGGTTTAGGGCTTAGGGTGTTGGTTTTAGGGTTTAGGATTGAGGGTTCGGGGCTCTGTTGGGAGGGAGGCGTTGGGGGTACCTCCTCTTGTGACGTTTAAGAACTGACCATCAAAACCCTCCAGCATTAAGATGCTGTCCACCCCGTTTTTTTCCAATCCTTATGCAAGCCCGTAAAGCCCCTATCAAATACTGTCTGAAACCGAAACCCTAACCCCTAAACCAAACCCTACACCGCGGACTCGAAGAAGTCGTAGGAGGCCTCCCAAGTGGCCAAAACGCGCCCAGCATGCACGGTGCAGCCGTTGTTGGCCTTGGCTTCAAGGACCGGTGATGCTTATGCTCTAATGGACCATCAACCTTAAACCTTTTTACACAGGCTTGATCTTAAGCCTTTTGCAACAGGCTTTCCACTTCGCCCGGAGTCGGAGCAAGCAGCCCGAGCAGCTTTACTGCGGAGCCAGCTTTCGCATCCGCNNCGGCATCTGAAACTATGCTGAACAAGATGATCTTAAACCTAAAGCCCAAACCGTTTTGAAAGTTTAAGGTTCGGGGGCTTCTCCCAGTGTTCCTTTCAGCTTAAGGGCTCCTTAGAGGATTCTTCAAGGGTTCTATAATAGGGGGCCCAAGGGGTCAAGAAAATTGGGGTGGGCTTGGGGTGCCCCAACGAGCGGGCGCGGCTGTTGTGCCTTGGGTCTTGGGCTGGACAAGCTTTTTTTTTTTTTGGAGGGGCGTTGGTGTCTGTTGGGCTATGTCGTGGTTTGGTGTGAAACCTAAGCCGGGATTTATGGCTGATAGGCATATAGGTGACATTTAGGTTCGAGGAGAGACCAAAACCCGTTTTCAAAACGGACTGAGGTGCCGGCCAGCCTACCCTAAACCCAAAGCCCCGGTAAACAATTAGAGCCAGCGGTCTGGGCTGTCACGCTATACTGCGATACTGTGTAACACCAGGGCTACTTCGCGAGTTCTGCAAAGAGCACCGAAAACGATTCTACAAAGGCTTCGATCGGAGACATGTTGTGTGGGGAGGTCACATTCAATCATTGACTGGGCTTTGGATCCCTGCTATGCCCAACCATCCCAAACGCGAAGCCATCAACCGCCCTACATCAACATTGTTTTGGGGCGGGTGTCCGGAAACCTAATCCCTTTATTTTTTTGAACCCTGGCTCTGATCATCAGCTAGGAAGTCGCACACACACACAAATGCTCGCTAAGCCCTAAATCCTACACTTGTTTTGGGGGGCTGTCTGCATCTGCCCTCATCCAACTCTTACTGCTTACATCCATCCATCCCAAGCCACACCCTTAACACTCAGGCTTTACTAGTTGCATTTGTTGGGGCCGAGGACCTCCATATCCCCATCTAACACCCCAGATCCTTCGGAGCCACCTCTGACAGGCAAAGCGTCGGGATTTCGGTTCTGGATGACCCAGTAGGGCGAGTCCGTGCCTTAGCTCACTGCTGAAACCAGTCATGAAGTTGAACTTCAATGTTCCATCGTCTATAGAAGCCTAAACCCCATATACGTACCCTGAACCCAAACAAGCTGAAGGCCAAGAGCCCCCAAAAGCCAACCAGAAAACAGCCCAGGTGCTCCCGGAGGAGCCGAAGTACTTCTCAAACAGAAGCCGGAAAAAGGTGGGAAACCTGGGCTGCTCAAACAAGGGCCTTAATTGCTGGAAGATCTTGCCTTTCAGTGATTCTGTAGTGTCCGTCTCAAGGCTTTTAGAAGGGATACATATAAGGACTTAAGCTTAACGGATTAGGGACCTCATGAAATCGAATGAGTTGCTTTTGTGCACATCAAACCTACACTATTTGAGCTGAAAGGGTGGTCGAAACTGTCGTTAGGCTTATGATGAGGGTTCCACACAACCCAAGTTACACCTGAACGTGCTGCTGCTTGAATCATTCCATAAGCATCCCTCCGTGGTTGAAGGTCTCTACTCCCTCGTTTGGCATTCCGGGAATAACTGCCACCCACGGGGTTTGAGGTTGGGGTCTAGGGCTTAGGTTATTTGTATA